AGATGATGCTTAAATTAGAAATCTGATTAGAGTAATCTTCTCTCCAATGTCTCTCTGTGTGCTTAACCTTGTTCTGTTCCAGTACTTGATTAATCTAAGGGTATTTAGGGCTAATGTGTTCCTTTTAACCCAATCGTGCTAGGTGACACATAGTGGTGTTGATGCATCCCATCTCATTTAAACAGGACTTATTGTGCTCACTTATAGCTCCAACAACAAGAGTAGTTTTACACGATTTTCAGTTCAAATTAATCCTTATTTATCTTCTGCTGTGCCCTGGTGCGCTGCATCCACCCTTTAAATCCTTGTTTGTGGTCACCACATTAGTTGTTGCATGTGAAAACTATAATGTCTGTAACTAAGATAAAGATCTCTGCATCAGCAGTGGTATAGGAAAAGAGAAAGATGAAACAGGAAGCAAGATGATTCCATGTTTGTTCCAAGTTTTTTTTCCTCGTCACATTCTCAGGATGTTTCCAACTATGTAATCTGGGAATCTCTAGGCACCTACGCTGATAGATAATTGGAACTGCGATAAATAACAACGCATTAATGTCTAGGGTGACAACGGCAACAATAAACGTTCCTAAACGCCAACCTCCCTTTAAGGCCATGTCCACACTAATATGTTTTCGTTTGAAAACACATCTTTTTCTCTCCGTTTTGGCCTTCCACACTGAGACGGCGTTTTTGGTCAAGGAAAACTGAGCTTTTTGAAAACGCTCCCAAAAGTGGATAAATTTGAAAGCTGTTTTCGTGTTGCAGTGTGGATTGTGAAAAACGGAAGCTTTCAAAAACGATGACGCATTTTAGTCATATGATGCAGTCATGTGACCAATTCAACTAAGATGGCGGACGGCATTGTACGGCAGTTGTTTTGTTTTTTTCCCATTTTTCTCAGCCCTATTAAAGATTAATATCCGTTTGTACATGCTCCTCATAGCTTTTCTTCAAAGAAGACGGAATGTTAATTTCGGTGTATTTGGTACGTCTCCCAGTCTATATTCTCACTCGCTTTTGCAACTTTGTACTCTTGTGTTACTCGCAGCAACAACTCCACCTCATTGTCAGTCCATTTAAAAAACTCGGTGCTTTTCCTCGACATTTTGCCGTGACGTTTCAAAGAGCCGGAAAGTAAATAAACGGCAGACCGAAATGAGGCAGGTCGAATCATCTTGCGTTTCACGCATGCGCGGGGAAAGTAAGCGTTTTCAGTCATTTCAGTGTGGATGAGAAACTCTTCGGAAACGACTGAAAACGATAGTGTGGACGTGGTGCATTTTTAGACGAAAACACTGTTTTCAAATTTATCCAGATTAGTTTAGGCGTAGCCTAGGTCAACTTTCTTTGGATGGGCTACCTCTATCGCATGGCTTCTGCAAGCAGAACATCATTCCTCACTCTTAATTGGGAATGGAAACTTCTGAAATATTGTACATATACAAGCCAAAATCTTACGCAGAACCTTGAGCACAGGGGCGCTGTTTAAAATGTACCCAAAAATCCCACTAATTGACATCAAATAGAGCAAAACGCCAAGCATTTAGAGCACCTGAAGGCTCATGTTTTAGCTCACAGGGGATCCTTTGCACATATGCTGACATCACTGTTTAAAACTGGCCATTTTTACTGAGCACACACTATGTATGACAGAAAATATGGAAAAGTCAGGTCAGCTTTAAAGCTCATGTTTTGTTGTCTTCTTTCTTCTTGTTAAATTTAATTAAAAATTTGCTTGCAATTAGTTGGTTATGTGGGTGATTATGAACTTAATTTTACAATACAATTTCCTTTATGGTCAAAAAGGAATGGTACACTGGAGACCAGTGCACGTGTCAAAAGTCTGACTGTTGGAGTGTCATTTTTAAAGGGTTAAAAATGACACTCCAATTAGTTGTTACGCAGCTCATGGGCTTACACTGCTCGTTGCCAACTTGAAATGTCCTATGATGTCAGTATAACAGCAAGTCACTGGGCTCTGTCAACATTTTCCCTTGGCACAAATAATTTTCATGACCCCACTATGGTTATTCACCACTTCATGGCACACATGGTGGGAAAATCTGCTCTCACCGAGCTGTGATGTGGATTAGAACATATTCGCTCCATCACAGGGCCAAACAGAATAATTTAGAAAATGATAGAAACATCCATCATGACTACAGACTTCTACAGCGTCCTCATCCAGCTTTTTGACAGCTCGCATTTTATGGGTGATCTCATAAAGGGTGCTCTGTGAGAAGATGCGTGTCTTTGTGGCACTAAAACTAATTTGCCCAACATGATGTTCTAACAAAATTAAACTAAAACTAAATCCAAGTCACATATGCCCTACATCTCTTCCAAAACATTTTATGCTCTCAGGTTGATTTTCTTTCAATTTTCCCTTTAATCCATTTCACACTTTTTCTATCCTCGTTATTCGCCTGCTTCTCTCATAATGCTCCGTAGTGTTTGATGGTAAAGTGACACGGGAAGGAAATCTCCAAGGAATCCTTACAAAGTCCTCTGTGTTTAGCAGGTAAATAATCAATGCCGTCTTGTTCCTGTGAAGCAGGAAGACAAACAAGATCAAGCTTTCCCGCCTTCCATCCAGGGGAGCTGCCGATTTACAGGCATCTAACTCAGCCAGTGGCCTTCTTAGGAGATCACCCATGGAACAGAAAGCGGTTGTGGAGATCTGTACTTACACTAACAGGCTCATTTTATCTACATATTCACAGATGAGCTACATGAGCTGTGTGAAATCACTCTTCACTGTGTGAGAACAAGATGATTCTTGTTAGTGTTGTCGCTCAGGGAACGACTCACGCTGTTCACCAGAGCTTTTTTTTTTTTCCCTTTTGCCCAAAAACACAACAAATAACAACAACAACAACAAAAAACCCAGCCTATAGAATGAGGGGACAGATTTACAGCTAGTCGGGGTCAAGGGTCATCCGGCTAGATGCTTTCTTGGAGTGGTCTTTTCTCTCTTTCCTCCTTTCTTTCTTTTAGGTGTCCCCTAGGCTCCCACCCCTCCCCCAGCATTCCTCTCTTTTGTTTATTCTATATAAATACGATCAGACTGGGCTGCAGACCACACTGGTATACATTCACCCTTTCTGTTGGTTTGTCCTTCGCACATACACATGTACGCAAACACACAAACACAGCGCACGCACACACAGATACAAAGGGGGCTGTTGACAAAGCGTGGTACGCTTGTCTGTGGATGGCAATTCAAACATACATCAGGTGGACAAAAAGTCTAACAGGCTTCCACAAATATTCCTGAAATTATTTTTAATTTGAGGAGCTAACGCTACAAGGAAGATGAAGCTTTAATGGGTTTAAACATTGATTACATTAGGTAGGCTTCATAAAAAACTGCATTTACTGAGTTTAAGAGGCTTACTACAGGTAAGGCTCAAATAGGCAGACAACAATAAGAGGACACGGCTGAGAAAAAATAGCAGTGGATGAAGTTTAAGTTGGAGTGAGGAAAAGAAGATTTCCAGAGACAGACAGAAAGGAGAAGAGGGAGTGAGGCCAAGAAGTGTGTGTGTGGCCGTGCCAGGTCTCTGCACCAGTCTGTTGGTAAGGAAACGCACAGGAATGTGTAGCTTTCCAGTTTAAGGCAGTTTAATGAACATGCAGGGCTTTATTTTTGTGGTGGTGCAAAGGATAGTGCAACCAGCGCTCCAACACGTTGCCATTTTCTAACATTAAAATGCACTCCGTCTCACTGCTTAGATGTAACATGTGCAGAGTGAAGGTGGGAGGACAGGAGCGTTTGGATCTACAGGATCTACGGATACTACGAAGAACAAACGAGGAAC